TTATTAAGATATCTAAGTCTAATTCTAATATTAATTTTTTTTATTCTTTTAAAAATTAATCTCTTTATATAATAAAAAATATATTATTTATAATATTAATAGTATTATTAATCATAAAAATGGAATATATTCTATTAAATTTAATAATTATATTATATTAAAGACCTGGATATATATTTAATCTTTATTAGTTAAACATATTTTTTATATTAAATGTAATAAAATAATTATTGAGAATATAAGAAATATACAACTAAACTTAATAATATAAATATTTATAATATTTATAAATGATTAAAGAAATATATTATTTATCATCTAGTATATCTATAAAGTAATATATATAAATATTATTTATATAAAATATTTTAATCTTTTCTTATAACTAGATCTTTCTATATCTTAATTATAAATTTTATACCTATATTTTCTACTAAATCTAAAAGTAATTAAATTCTTATATTTATAGATAAGGTTATTTAAAAAAATCAATATACTTAAAAATACTCTAAAGTAGTAGTGAAATAATAAAGTATTATTATTATTTAATATTTTTAAGAATATAAATAAAATATAATAATAATGTTTATATCAAATTATAACATATAATTTATGTCTATATCTTAGAAAAGCTATTTAATTATTTAAATATTTATCAATTTTATTCTATAGTTATATGATTATAAATAATTAATAATTTAAATTCATAATTTTAATAATTAAAAGTATAATATATTATAAAATAATTTAATAAAAGTTATAATTATTTATTATTTTATTAATTATCAGAAGTATAAATTTATTTTTAAATATCTTTATAAATAATATACTATAATATTTTATATTTAAACTATTCTTCTATAAATTCTAGGATTTAATTAAAGGTTATTTAATAAAATAAAATATATATATTATTTTATTAATAAATAGTCATCTATATATTAAAATCTTATTATTAGAGATATTATTATTAAAGATATTTTCTATAAATATAATTATCTACAGATTAAAGTTATTATTCTAGTTTATTTATTTAAAATATGAATATTAATATTATTTAATATTATAGTCTTTATTTTAATACAGAGAAAAAATAAAAGTATATTATAATATATATAAAATACTCTTATAATATAAGATATAAAACTAGTATTTTCTATTCTAGTAATTATATATATTTATACTTTCATTAGAATTATATTATTTTTATTATTAAAAATAATAAAATTGAAATAATATAGTAATATATTAGCTCTTTTTTAATTTTTAAAATTAATAAAAAGTATATGTATTATTTCTAGTTTCTAAATATATAAAAAATATATCAATTATGTTAATTATTTAGTTAACACCTATTTTTAAAAAAATTATATACTAAAGTCTTAATTAGGCTACTGTATATTATCAATAGATATTTTTTAAATTTAAATTATTATTAAAAAAATAATAGTAATCTTAAATATATATATTATCTTATATAATTATTTCTTAACTTTTATTACTTAATATCTTCTTTATTACTTATAATATATTTCTAAAGATAATAAATAATTAAAAATTAAAAATCTTACTATATAGATAACTTAATTTATAAATACAATAAATATTTTAAAATATAATATTCTTAACTATATTTTCTTTCTTATTTTTATTAATTACCTATTCTATTACTATGTTTATTATTATAAAAAAACTATTTTCTGTTTTCTCTCTATAAATTTCTTTTTTTAGTTATATTGACTACTTTTTTATTACTTTTTAAATATATATATTTAGATTTAATTATATAGATATTATCTTTAAGATACTAATATTTATAGTATTTCTAGAATACCTGTATTCTACTATTTTTATAATACTATATTTATAATTACGAAGGAAACTTTTAGTTAATCCATTAATTCTTTTATCTTCCTAACTCCTATATTATCTTATACTAATTAATCTATGAAGCCTGTATATGATCATCCTTACTTTCGTAATACTATATATATTATCTTAATCTTGTTAAATTCTAGATTATTTATCTTATTATTTTTATTTTATAACTTAAGTTTATTTCTATAGAAGTCGACTTTTATAATTATATACTATTTTAATTTTTTCATATTATTAATAACTAGTTTTTCAATATGAAATATTAGAAAGTTTCTATTTTATTAAAATATATATTATTTTATATAAATATATAAACTTATTATTAAGTATTTTATTTCTTAATCTAGATATAACTTTATTAATAATATATAAATTTATAAAGAGACTATTAGAGTAAATAATCTAATTAATAAATTTAATAAATATTAATTATTCTAATTATAATATATTATTTTTCATATTTATTGATATATTTATTATACTATTATTTATATATATAATATTACTTTATCAGAATATGAAGCTTACTAAACTAGTATCTATAGGAAAACATAATTTAATTAAGAATTCTATTATTCTGTCTTCCTGCCATTTTTTATACTACTTCATCAATAAAAAACTTCTTAGATCTCCAAGTTTTAACTATTCCCAAGATTTCTTCTTCCAATCAATTTTTTTACTTATTTACTTCTCGGCCATTATACCACTGTAATAGATTGTAAATAATTAAATTATATATATTTATCATGTACTATATTATAACTACAATAAGAAAATAAATACAAATACCTTATTTAATTAAAAAAGATGACCAAGATACTAAGCTAGTAATATTTAAATTTTTATATTATATATATTATTTTAAATAATTGTTCGATAAAAAATTATCCTTTTATTTTAAATATATTTTATTCTAGTATTAGATTTTTATAAAAATATTTTTAAAATTAAAATTAAATATATAAAATATAGTCAAGAATACTAGTATATTTAATCAATATTATTTGTTTATGATTCCTAGGCTATATAAAAAATCATCTATTTATATAAATAAATCTTATAATAATTTATACAGGTATAATTAGAGTTATAATAAAACTAATTTTATCAAAATATAAAGACTTTAATTAGTAATTTTATACTTTAATATAATAGTTTAAATATAATTAACCTATCTATTAAAAATTACTAGATTTTATAATATACTATTTTATAGTTATACTAGTATAAGAATTATAGTTTTAAGAAATTATATTATTTAATATAATTATATATATATCTATAATAAATATTTACTATAATAGTAGTATTATATCCCTAAATCAAGATTTTAATAATAAAATACATATATATATATCTAGGAAAAAACTTTTATTTATTTATAAAAGAAAATATATTATTTTAATAATTTTTTCTTTATAGAAATTAATATATATATTAGCTTAAGATTTAACTTTATTTAAATAATTATGAAAAATTATGTTAAAAATTAAAAAAATACTTACTATCTTATATATAAAAATTCTTTTTATTTTTTATAGATTTTAACTAAGAAAATAAATTTATTCTTTTATTCTACTATAACTTTTAGTAATATGAATATTTTTAATAGTTTTATTAATAATTTAATAACTTTAAATCAATAAAGATAACTATTTTAGGAGTAGATATACTACCTGCTTATATATACCACTCACTTACTGATTATATTACCTTAATATAATCTGTAAGCAAGTAGTCTATATAAATGAGTAGTCCACCCCTGTATTCTATATAGAATTATTTCAAATATTTTAACTATTTCTTATCAAAATCTTATAGAATTTATTTTATACATTCTTATTATTATATTAATTTATATTATTTTAAGATATAATCATCGATATATCTTAATTATCTAAATATATGTGTATATATATTTAATGATATATATAATATAAAGTGATTTTTAGATTATATTAAGAGTGTTAACTTAGAGCTTCTAAAAAATATAATAGTAGAAAGATATACTGAATATTTATATAATATAGACTTAGTCTATTAAGTATTATAATTATTAAGATATTTAGCTTCAGAAAGTAGCTACTTTGTATAGAATACAGAGATGGACCACTCACCTATATAGGCCACTTGCTTACTGCTTATGTTGTATAGTATTTAGAATATATATATTACTAATATTAAAATCAGAGAAGCTAGATATATTAACTTCAAATTTTAAATTATTTATTCTTAGGATTTTATAAAGAATTATTATATATATATATTAATTAATCTAATGTATTCTAATATATTCAAAAATTATTTAGTCTTTTTCCCTGAACTAGTTGGGTTTAATTATAAGTTAAATATAACTCTACTATGGTGGTGCTTCTACATCCAGATGGGCTGAGCTACTCTGTCTTACCAACTGAGAATATAAACAGTGGGCCTTGGTGGTGAGGACCCCTTTTATTAACTGGCCGGCAAAATCAACTAATAAATCTAGCCGATTAAGCTGGTTATTAAGGTTTGATATTACTCATATAATTAATATAACAAAATTTATTAATATCAAATTATATAAGATCTTATTGAGCTTTTTTTAAATTAAGCAGTGGGAGCTACAGCCACAGGAAATTAATTTGCACCCCCCTCTCAAATACCGCCTTCCTGAAGCGCCCACACACCGCCTAAAACTGTACAGGAAGAAGCTAGCAGAATGACCATAGGCTGGACTTAATTAGGGGAAGTACCGAACTCCTTCCAAGCGGGGTTGCATACTAACTTCCTCCCACTGTAAGCGAAAGGGTGATTAGGGGTGATCAGTTTAACCCATATTTACATTCTTAAGCAACCCTAGTAAGTAGCTGAGATAAGGAACAATAAATACTGCAGTTTTGGTGCTCTAATATTGTTAAGGAGACACACTGGCAGTTATAAACACAGTGATAAAGAGACAATAGAACTCCTACTTAGGCTAAGGAACACTATAATCCACATATAAAATCATATTGGGCAGTAACTATATCCCCTGTCTAAAGTTGGTAATATACAAATACACTTCCTATATCCATATAATGAAGTGTCTATGTATCTTATACAAGGAGTATCAACAACAACTCCTCAGAATATAGCATACCCCTTACTATGTTAATCCATTGACTAATATACTACATACAGCCCACTGTCGTACCTACATGTTCGTTCATCTTCTTCCGTGGTAGCTTTACGCGGCCATCTTACAGCCTTCCCCATAGCCGGTAACTGTCGGCAACCTTTTCAAAGTTGCATACTACTGTACATAAGCCCGGATAGAGCAAGACATGCATGAGCATTCCTGGTGATACTTGACATAGCTAGAATTATAGCAAGCCTTCCCGGCCCATGAACCTACCCGGGATCAATTAGTATTCGACGAAGACGAGGTCAACGATGAAGGATTTCCATCAATCAAGGATACGAGCAAGCGACCTCACAGCCATTTGAGCTGTGTCCTGTTGTGTGATTCCCCAGGATCTCTGCCTATCTGCAATTCAGATTGCGAATCGTGCTCATCTTGAATAGCAGAGACCGTGGACTGCTGATATGATGCCCGTAAAGACTCAACCAGGGTCTTGAACCAAAACTCAAGCTTTCCACTTTTAATATAGTGTGACAGTAACGAGTTTTCTCTCTCAAGGTCATGATGAATACGAGCTCGCCGCTCTGGACTGAAACGTGCCGTGAGGAGGGCAATATTTGACCCGTCTAGAAGGAGCTCCTGTGGAGCCCGGGGAATATAAAGTGTGGGGTAGCAAGAGTCTTCGCTCAGGCCTGCCAGCATGGTCAGTCAAACGTACCCAATTGCCCATCAGTGTACACTTACCGTCCCTGTAACACCAGCTGAGGGTGCGAGCAAGTGCGGTACCATGAAGAAGATGTTCGAAGTCACTTCCCATGTTCTCGGCAGCTTTTCCTGTCGCGCCCCAATCATCTTTGATTAAGCACCTTTTCCAGACCAATTTCTGCAAAACAGCATCATACTGCGGGTTCTGTTGAGCATAAGAACTCAAACGGATGACACGCAAAGCCAAATAGTCCTCTTTCCCTACTAGTGCATCGTGGTCGTTATCAGGAGACCCTGGCATTTTTGCCAGAGTCAACAAATCCACCAGCTCCTCAACGTCCATGACCTGTCGGGACACTACTTTCGTAAGAGCTGCTTTCAAGATTTCAAAGAGCGACGGTCGGTCTTTCGAAATGCGCTCTCCAAACTCAGAAACAGCTATGTCAACCCTAGCCTTTTGATCGATGGCGCATTGCAATGTCGGTGCAATGTGGGCAAATATAACCTCTTGCACAGCATCTATTTCGGCAAGGTCTTCGAGGCGCTTGATAGCCCCTTGTACCGATAGATTGCCGGGCGAGGATGAATCTTCCCACGCTGAGAGTTTAGCGAGTTTAGCCAAGGATAACTCTAGCCGATGACCCCATAAATCTGATTCTTGATCGAGGGCTAGCTTCTCTAAGGAATCAGCGGCTGCGTTGTAGTCATTCTCCCCAACAACATCGTTGATCCAAGAAAGCCTAGAGTAAGTCGAATGGCCGCGCAAGAAATTGGTGACGAAGGGCTGAAACTTCTTCATAGCGAAGAGGACCCCTCCTTGGCCCAAAGATATTTGCCGGGAAAAGAAAGCCTCAGCCCATGCCTGGCCGAATCTGTCAAAATAACCGGATATCTTTCTACTCAGCTGATCGGAAGCACTCTCAAAAGCGCGAGTCGCATTGCTGGATAAACGCGGCGAAAGGCTCTGGCCCTTAGTCTGGTCTTGAAGCTCAATAATCAGCTCGACTAGTGCCTCCATATCTCGGAAACTTTCTGCGAGTCTAATCGCTTCTTGCAGATGACCGATACCCGCGAGCTTGAAAAGCTGCCATTTGCGCTGCTTGGCATGTGTATGCTCGATGGCTACGCCCTCGTCAACCAATTTCGTGTCTTCTTGGGCGGCAAGCCAGCGGACCCGCTCCCGGTGCACTTGACCGAGGATATGAAATTGTCTGGCACAGTTTATCCCTATTTTCTTCACTGTATCGAGTTCCTGAGCATCGGCGGAAGTTGCTTTTTGTTGAATCCAGACTCTGCAGCTGTCCAGTTCAAGGTCCAAGAGATGTATAGTCTCGACATAGCCAATGCCCCGGGAAGTCCAAAACTCCGAGAGGCCCTTGTAGTCGCCTGTCAGCACACCGTCTTCCAGGTAGCCATCGACGATTCCGTAACGACTAGCGTGCTCGTCTCTATAGTGATATGCTGTTTCTAGGACGGCCAGAGAGAGATCACTAGCCCCTAAGAGCTTTCCGGCCGTCTTCCATCCTTGTTTCAGGCTGTTGCCTTTCCGTGGTTTTATCGAGTTATAGATCCACGGCACAATATGTTCCAATTGAAATGTATCATAGAGAAACCAATGACGGACGGGATCACCATCATCGTTCCGGTGTGTTTTGAATCTCTCACTCATTGATTCCAGTATGTCGGCCAGCAGCGTCTGACCTCTGCCATTTTCTTTCCGCCAATGTTCTTCAAGCTTCCAGATAGCTCTCTGGGCAGCGATTTTCTCCGCACCCCATAGCAATTCCCACCACACCAAGCGGTTCATGACTTTATGCTGTTGCATCAACAAGGAGGAAAGATCATCAAAAGCTTTGGCTCGCAATTTGAGATTCTGATCCACAGAAATACCTGTTGTCGGTATGTATTTTGAAGTTGACTGTAGTAATTCTTTGGCCACCTCTAGAGCAGCCTCTTCAACCTCCTCCAAGGGAAACCCAAGGCCATCTTTGTTTGTCAGATCCAATGGATTTTCCATGATCGTACCATAAAAAATAGCCTGCTCGATCCTATGTTTCGCAGTGATATGAGGAATCTCGGTACTTGGCTTTGCCGCCTCTCTCCCTTTAGCGAAGGCACTGATTCGAAGGATACCAAAACCCCTGACCATAATCACACATGCGGGCTCGGTCCCTTCCAGAATCCGACTTTCACAACCGCTACCAAGTATGTCGTACCCTTTCCCGGACCGGAGGTTGATGATATCATGGAATGCTCCTGCCTGGTGATTGTTGTTCGATGTAGAGCCAAGCAATTCTTGCTTTTGACTCGACAATGAAAGCAAGATGACCGATTGACCAGCGACGAGAAACGCCACGTCACCAGGGTTAGGAACAAAAAGCTTGATCTGCGAAGCTTCGAGATCTCGGATAAGACCACGATGGTTTATCGCAGTACTAAACAATACCCGAACCTTCTCGGAGAGCTTCAGTTTTAGAACGGAGAGTTCTTGAGAGCCCGCTGCTCTCGAAGCCACGATGACCAAGACATTCCACGTGTTAGCCTCCCCACTCTGAATATTGTCAGTGTTGGACTCGGCGGTAGTAAATACGAAATCCAGGATTTCGATATCACTTTCTCCAGGCTGCTGCGCGCCCTGTGCCAGGACGTCTGAAATCACGGGCCTGACGTCGAATTGCCTCTTGAGCAAACTTCCATTATTCCAGTGAGTGTCCCAAACCTCGAAGAAACCCGTGGTCGTGGCTATGATGACATCTCTCTGTCCCCGCTGATGCGATTGGCCCGCTTGTACCGCCGCAATGTCTTTCCTCCAGTATCCCCCACCAAGAGCATTTCTTAATCCGCCGAGAAACCCTATCCTGCCACCATTTGGAGGGTTTCTAAGGAAGCTAGCCGTTACGGCTGGCTTACCTTGCGGATCTCTTACAGTAACATGAGCGACTCTTCCCGTGGAGAATTTGACGATAACTCCAGAGGGCTCGCAATTGATGACATCAGTAGCGTGCTCACCGGAAAGGAGGCCACTGATGCTTCCCTCGAGGCCAGACTGTTTCTGCCTGGTATAAACCAACGATGTAGCACTCGTTATAGTCTCCCAGTATACGATATGACCACTATTAGGCGTTACAACAATCAAACCTGGCGATCCGCCTACTGCAGTTGATAAGAGCTGTCCAAGAGGTGCCGCCTCATCAGATCGCATGTATGACTTCGGTAGGGGCAGAGTAAGAATATCCGTATTCCGTAGTTGCGAATCACCTGAATAAGGCCAAATTATTGCATGAGATCGTGTCAAAGCTAGCGCGAGGCCATAGCTGCTTCCAAAGACAACTCTGAGAGGCTCTGCATGTTCATCAGTAAACGATAAAAAGATATAAGCATCTACACTGACCTGACTGCAAGCCGACAACTTGATCTGGCAGAGCTGGAAGCTGCTCAACTTTGTAGAAATCTGTTTGTGACTACACCAAAGAGTATCAGTTTCTGGGAATTTGTAGGAAGCGCAGCATGAGTGACAGACAAGAATGACTAATTTGCCGACTTCATTCTTGGAAGCTCCGGGTCTTTTAGCGGCCCTGATGGGGATATCCTTGTGTATGTTCGCGATTTTGGTCGCAGGGAGCTCGGTATTGAACGAGTCCAGATTTCCAGCAGTCAGGGATGAATTTCTGGATTTGCCCCTGGATTGAACCTCAAAGGACGAATCGACACACTCCTGGCGTAGAGCAGAGCGCTGGCGCTTCGCATTTGGTGGTTGCGTGGTTTCATCAGAGTTCGTACGTTGTCGTCTCCGAGGATTGCGCAAAGCGGCTGCTTGTCCAAGTGCTGTTTTTGGTACAAACATTGTTAGATCTTGGGGCGAAAGCAGCGCAGGTAAGAGATCCTTGAGAACGGTTGTATCATGAATGCTCTGTCATTAAGGAAGAACGCAGTGATGGTGCTAAAGCGGGATTCTTCAACTTGTGGCCGCGCTCATGATCACGAATAATAACACTCCACATGCATCGGCCACGGACAAGAAACTACTGCCGGTCCGAAGGCGGTCAAGTGATTACTGCAGGCTCCCAACGGAATGGTATGTTTGGGGCATACATCGTACGGTATCTTCAACTACACGAATCTACGCGCGTAATCATGCTACCCAGATTCCTGATTGCAATCTGGATAACTAAATATGTCAGTAACTCAAAAAAATGTCATCACTGATAGGGGCCAAGGGCCATGCTCGATGAATAATTTGTATATTAGTTCATACATCAATTGATAGCCCGGTGTATATTAGTGGATTCTTATCTCAGCAAGCTCAGCCTGCTTGATTGCCATCTCTATCCAGACGGTCGGGCAAGTTTCAAAGGGTCAGGTAATAACTTAACTAAAGCTTAAACTCCAGCTAATCAGAGCTGAGCTTAATTTAAAACTTAGATTGTAGCACCCCTCCTATGTTCTGTTCCTTCCCATCACATGTTATCTTAGCACCTTCTCTGTATTAAATATTTTAGTAGCTATTTAACTTTTCGATAAGTCTTAATAATATATCTATATTATATTTCCTATAAATCATGAAACTATAAAAATGTTAATAATATTATAAGATAATCGAGAAATGATTTTATTACATTAATAGTGAAGTAGCCTTCTATATATATTATATAATAGAATTACATATCAAATTAAGAGAATAAAAGATATTGATATTAAAATTATTATAAAAGAATTGTTATTTTATATTTTATATTTTTTATTAGAGAAATATTCTATATCTTCTATAATAATGACTATTGCTGAAATTTCAGTAAATAGTAGTTTATTCTGAATAGTTTTATTCTTTATTATAACTATAAAGTTCTTAAATGGTATATAAAATAACATTTATTTTATTTTATAAATAATTTTTTAAATATCGATCTTATAATTTTTTATAACTTAGTTTTATTTTACTGATATATTTTTATATAAGAATTATAGATTTTAAGATTAATCTCTTCTATACAAGTGATAATAATAAATTATTAGTTATTATTAATAAATTTACTATGTATATTTATTATGAGAATTATATAATATTATGATATTTTTACTCCTAGAATTAAATTATTTTAAAAATATATTTTATTAATGGAAATTACTATTTTTACTATTTTTTACCAAAAATTTATAATATTAAATACTGAATAATTCTTAATTACTGTTTAGTATTTATAAACTGATGCTGAATTTAAAGTAATAATATATTAAAATAATATTATAAAAGATGTGATTATCAATATTCTCTAGTATTGTTATATAATATAATCTTTTCAACTATAATTATATATTATCTCTTTTATAAACTACTTTCTAATATATATATTAGTTAAGTCTAATACTCAATTTACTATATGCTTCTTAATAGTATTTAATATTTTATTATTTATTATAAGATTAAGAAAGTATTTAATTATATTATTATATTTATAGTTGATCTATAATATATATTATAAACTTTAAACCTTTTAAAAAAATAGAAAAGAATAATTTCATTTATATGAAAATTATAAGACTTGGTCTATAATTTTAAAAATATTATAACATGAAAAATTCTTAATATGTAGAGATATATTAAAAACTCTAAATATACTAAAATATTATATATATAAGCTGGATTTACTACTAATATAATTATTTATTTTATTATTAATATAATATAATTACAATTTATATTCTTTAGAAATAATTATTTCATAAATATATTATACAGGGTCTTCATCTTATTTTAATATTTATGTATCAGACTTACAGCCCCACTTAGCCTAAACTAGCTTAGTAAACTAGCTTGATTCTTCTTTTCTTAATAAGCTCAATAGATTATAGTACCTAGATAATATAATTTACTTTTAATTACTTATCTCTAAACTAATCTACTCTCTAATTAAGAAATAATTAATAATCTAATTAAGACATAAAAAATTTATTTTCTTATTATTCTCTTAATTAGTTTAATTAATTAAATTATTATATATTAAATTCACTATCCTATTTATTTCCTTAATTTACTTATTTATTATATTTATTGTTTTTTAGAGATTTTTACTTTTATTTTATCCTTATCTTACTTTTTTACTATATTTCTATATAAAAATAAAAAAATAAAAAAAGTTAATTAAAAACTTATATTGTAATGTTTTATATTAGATAATTATAAACCTGGAATATTTTTTATTAATTTTTCTTAATATCTCTAAATTAATATAAATTGAATTATAAATTAGACAAGTCTAGAGAAAGTAATTATATTTAAGTAATAAATTAATTAGTTAATATAAATTAATTAGATTGGATTATATATTATTAATAAAGATACATAGAAATACATAAATCTAAATCTTTCTAAACAATCTAGTTATTTAATGTAATCTAGTTTATCTTTTATTCAGGATATTAGATTTAATATAAAATTAATTTAAATTTTAAATCTAGTAGACTATTTTTTTAGAAATAAAATATAATTATTAATTTGAGATTAAGAAATTTAATAAACTTAATTTAGTTTTTAGATAAGTAATTTTACTAATTATTCTTATATTAAATAAGTTAAATAAAGTAACTATACTTAGTTTAGAAAGATCTTATTAGATCCTTAAGACTTTAAGAACTTGTTTAGTATCTATTATATATTTAAAAATATAAAAAAAAATTAATAAATATTATTTATTAAAAGCCTTACCTAGAGGCTTTATTAAAACCTATATTATCTAATAAAAATTAATCTATTTAGAAGTAGTAAAGCTTAAAATTAGTAAAATAAATAAATTAATTAAAGTTTTTCTTAATCTTCTTAAATTAATTTAGGAAATAATAAATACTTTCTTGTTAATATAATAAACTAAAATTTTTAATTAAAAGAATTTTATATATTTACTACCCAGCTTTCTGGAAATAACTAAATTAATATATAATTAATATTATTTGATTTTCTAAAATTAGTAAAATATTGATAAATTTTTCTAAATCAATTATATAATTTTTTAGAATTAATTAGATTAATTAAAATAAACTTCTTATTCTGGAAATTACTAATAATGTAAGGACTGATATTCTTATAACCTTTGTGATAAGCTTATTATAAAGAAACATCAACTACTCCTTACAAGAAAAAGATAAGAGATTATATAAGAGACTAGGCGAGTAGCCGCGACCACTACACAAGTAGCAGCTACCTGTAAGAATAGGAAACTAGTGATAATACTTTAAGATAATATAACACTACCTTTGACTCTTATAAGGGATATTTGTTTATTATACTATTTCACCCCTTAGTCCTTATAAATAATCTTTTTTTAAAAAAAAGATATTAAAATTAATCTTACCTTTATTAAATTAGAAAGACTAGTAGATATTATGATTTTAAGAATTATTTTTATACTAATAGAAAATAAAAAAAACTATAATAGAGACTAAATATAAAAATATTAAATTAATTTAAATTAGTCTACTAATATTTATACTTTTAATATCTCTATAAAAAGACTTATTAAATATATTAAATAATCTTAATTATTATAAATTTAATTATTAATCCAGTAAATAATTAAATAATTAATAAAGAATAATTCTGATAATTACTTAGTTTAATTAATATACTTTCTTTTTAAAATGTTTATTAATAAAGTTCTTAAATTAATAGATATTTAATTAGAGTGCCTAACAGCTAGGTCAGGTCAGGTTAATAAGAACTTTTATACCTGACTACAGATTAATAGTTAGATTAAAGAAATTTTTATACCTGACCACGGTATAACTAGAAATAAAATAATTAATTATTTTAATTATTATTAGTATTAAGATCTATTTATTATACTCTTTTTAACTCTAGTATAGTTAACGTATATCTAGATTAAATAAGAATTAATTTAATTATTTTAATTATTATCTGAAAATATATAAAGATAAGTTTTCCAGGATAAAAAAAAGTAATTAAGAAATATAATAATATTTTATTTCTTTTTATTTATAAGAAAAGATAGGAAAATCCTAATAGTATTAATATAATTTAGTTTTTTAAAATATTATTATTCTTATAGTAAAAAATATAAAAAAATATATAATTATAGTTTAATTTAGATTATATACTAAAGATCTAATAAATTATATAAAGAATACTATATTTTTATTATTAAAATAATAATTAAAAATTAGTATAATACTTCTAAACTACTATTAAATCTTTTTAAATAAGTTTAATAAGTTTATTATTCTTTTATTTTTTATTAAAAAAAGTTTTAATTATTTATATATTAGATTAAAAGTTATCTATATTATATTATATAATTAATTTATTTTAGTAATTATATTATCTATAATTATTTAATCTAAATATTAAATATTATATTATATCTTTAATAATAGATTCTGTAAAAGTCTTTTTTAGATTTTTTTTATATAAATATTTTTTTATTTAAATTTATTATCTTTATTTAATATCTATATTTAGATCTTTAGAAAAAACTAGATATATTAAAATTATAAGATTTCTAGAAATTAAAATATAAATAATAAAATATTTATTAAAATATAGTCTATATTTTAATAAAATAATATATTTAAACTTTAGACTTATAATAAAAGAAGAGATTATTTAAATTTTAATTCTAAATATAACTTTAAATAATTAAGTATTTAAGTTATTAAAAAAAAGAAAATATTTAATATTTCTAGACTTTAAATATAGTTTTTTATTTATTATATTTATTAATAACAATAAATATAGTAAGTAGATTAAGCTGGAAGAAAAAATATAATAGATTATATTTATATATAAGTATATCTTTAAATTAAATAATATTATTTTTATAAAGTTTTTTTACTTTTTTTTTATTAATCTACTATTTACAGAATCTTTCTAATATTATAAGTTAATTATAGTTATTTAATTTATTTTTAAAAAATATTAAGTTCTTCTCTTCTATTTCTTAGATTTTTATAAATAATAATA